CATTAACAAATTCTAACCACACATTTTATTATGAGATGAAAAGTTTAACAACAAAAATAATAAGTATTCTGGACATGAAAAAAATGAGCTTCCTACACAAACCTGTCATGGACCTTAAACCAGCAAAACCATTGTAAGTAAGGCATTGCAAATATAGCAGAGGTGGCTTATTAAAGTCATCTACTTTGGTAGTGGGAATTCTGACATAACAGGAAGGGATTCTTAGTTATGAGGGCTTTTTTCTGCCTAATAAACTATAGATTCTGGAAGTTTAAAAGCAAATTAATGTAAAGTATGAGGCTACCTGCTGCTTGTGGTTTGTCCCACTCACCAAAGAGCATGTATAAAAGACCCTGGACAAATGTTAATGTTCACAGAGGAAACTGAAAATCTGCTCCTCAACTGAAGTTTCTATTCCCACACAGCATGTGCTATTACAGCAACTCCTATGGTGACCTGAGCTGTGTCTATGGAAGCTGTGGCTATGGCTGTGGCTATGGCTGGTACAGATGTGGCCTCTGCTGCCCATCATGCTGTGGCAGATATTGGTTCTGTGACTTCCATTGAGAAACTGTTAGAGTCACTCATCTAGTAGAACTCCTTCTCCCGTGCTTCCCAATTATCCTTCCAGGGTTCTTCTTATAAGTAATTTATCTTTCCAAACAGTGAAAATTTTATCCTGTATCCTGGGCTACTTCAGCTTCAGATTGAATACTACAAATTCAGCATGCGTCATATTGATTGACCTCCATTACACGTAACACCTCACGATTCATAAAAATGTTTCTGTTTGATATTGCCTCCCTTCTTCCTTCACTTTAACTTAACAGTGTTAATGCAACAAAGGTTTTAAGTTTATGTTTCAATAAACTTTCTCTTTCATTGAAAAATGTTTTGAATTTATATTCATTTCTCTCTGCCATTTATATGTGTCTGTTTGGGTGTATATATTTCATTTAAGGGTACATATTTCATTAAAGGGACATCTTTACAGGTATACAACCACACATCTAGACAGTCTGGATAGTAAAATTATAATGTTTTATAAAATGGTTTTGCTTGTGAGGTAAGAGGGAAAACTCTGTTCAGCAACAGTATAAAATGCAAGGCTCAGACATTTTCTGTCCCTCATTCAATCTTCTAATTACTCTCAAGAGTAAAAATGTATAATTTATACAGGTCACTTTGGCAAAACCTCCTTCAGTTAAAAATAAATAGATTACTGAATAAAATTACTTTTTAATACCTGATAACAATACTAATAACTCAGCAGTAGACATATACAAAACATATTCCTTGAAGCATGCTCTGTACCTACCCCTCTATATCTGGGCTTATTCAACTCTCATTGTGTTCTTCATTTTTCCTCACCACCATATCTTGTTCCCTCCACCTGACACCATGCTGAACAATAAAAAAATGTAAAATATTGTATTTTACCTTAAAGAAAATCCCAAATCAGAACATTTTCTAACAACTGGTTTGGACTTTCCATGAGTACAAATTTCTCTTCATTTGCACAAAGCATCTCTGTTATCAAACAAAAAGTGAGGAAGATTAAAAGTGGTCCCATGCCTTCAATATGCCCTCAGCTGCTGTCAGAGAACATCTACAGCAATCCCAGGGCAACTGTAAGACACAGATGACCCCAGAGAATGAGACAGAATTGTGTTTGGAGGAGCCCCCATCCTAGAACTGAGGTGTCAAAGAGACACCTTTACAGTACCCACATCTGGGACAGTGGCATTCAACAGGATTGTGATACACAGAAATATAAGTCAGATAGAGATAGAGATAGATAGATAGATACATAGATAGATAGATAGATAGATAGATAAAAAAGAGAGAAATGTAGATGTAGTGAAATGTTTATAACTGAGGAATCTGAGTAAAGAAGACATAGAAATTATTTTTACTGGTCTTATACCTTTCCTTGTGAAACACTTCAACATAAGTTATACCAAACATCTTTAAAAAGACAAAGACAAATGTCTGATAACCAATTCTGTCTAAACTGCCCATATAAAATGCTTTCATGTGACTCTGAGCCACTCCAATCATCTATACTTGATGTGATTAAATTCTCGTTCTCCTACATTAAGGTTTTAAATGATGTATTGCCTACAGAAACAGCACTATTCTCATATATACATACTGCTGTCAGTTTGTTGATGCCACTGTGCTCCTATGTGATTGTAATTTGTTCCTCCCACATCACATCCTTCTGATTGCTCCTCTGTAGTTCAAGGGAAAAGAGCAGAACATCTGCCATACCTCCAGGTTGCTGCTACAGGGGCTCTGCCTGATAAACTTGTGCAAAAATTCCTCCAGGAAAGAGACCTGGTCACCACCTCCTGCATACCAGCTTCAACAACTTAGATCATGGCTTTCCTCCTACACCACTGATTCTTGTATTTATTGTCCAACTTTTCCTTTCAAATCAAAACAACATAATTTTTTCACTGATTACAATCTTCACTCCCTGTTCACACAGGGAACAATGGGAAAATGGAATTCCATCTGAAGAAATACCATTCAAGTAACAGAGACAAGGAAAAAAATAAGAAATCCAAAAAGTCTGATACCTATTAAAGAAAATCAGCCTGTATTTTAAGACAGTCATGCAAAGAAAATTCCAGGCCTAAGTGGCTTCCCTGATGAATTATTTATACCACTTAAGAATAAAATAAATGCCAATTATACAAGTATTCTTCCACGGAATAGGAAAAGGGCAACACAAATAGGAAAATTAAAACCTAACAAAGACATTACAAAAAAGGACTATTTCTTGTGAATGTAACTATAAAAATCCAAAATGATATATATTATCAAAACCAAATCCCATGAGCTATATTCTAAGATTGCAAAATCCTTCATTGGTTTAATATCTGAAAATTCAGTATAATTCATCACATAAATGGAATTAGAAAGTCATATGAATGTCTTAATAGATTCAGATAAAATATAGAATTTCATATGTATTCATGAATTTTCAAAATTCTCAGTAAACTAAGACTAAAAAATAATTTCTTCAATTTGATAAATGGTTTCTACATAAAATCTACAGCTGATGTATTTAATGCTGACATATAAAATAATTTCCATCTGAAGTTAAGAATAAGACGAGGATAACCACTATCACAATTTAATAAAAGTTTGATACAACTTTGTACCAGAGGTCTTTGGCACTGCAATACATGTAAATAAATAAGTACATAAATGCAATATAAACTGGAAAGGAAAATGTAGACCTGCTACTATCAACAAGTGACATAACTATGTGTGTGGGAAGGACAGTTGGTACTGATTCAGGAGTAAGCACATGTCAATGGAAAAACAGATATTCCGTAAACAGACTCAAACTTATAGGGTCAGCAGATTTATCCCATTAAGATACCATTGCAGTGCAGAAAATGAAAGGATTGACTTCACAATAAATAATGTTAATTTCATTACAATACAAAAGAAGATGAATCTTGGTTCATACCTTGCACCAAAATAAGATGTAAGAATGCCTTGATTAATTAGAAGTAGGCAATAATTTCTTAAACAGTCTATAAAGAGTACTAGCTATAGAAGAAAATATTAATAAATTGGACTTCACCAAAATTAAAGATTTTTTTTTTGGCCACGCCACGTGCCTTGTAGGATCTTAGTTCCCCGACTAGGGATTGAACCCCGGCCCATGGCAGTGAAAGCACCAAGTACTAACCACTGGACTGCCAGGGAATTCTCAAGATTTCTATTTTAAAAAGTGAAGAAACCACTGATGGGAGAAGATATTTACAATGCATGTATCTAAAGGAGGATTTATACAAAAAAATAAATAAAAATACCTACAAGTCATTAGACAAAGACAAAAAACACAATTAAAAATTGCCAAAAACTTGAACAAGCATATTACACCAAATGATAACAAAAGATGACCAACCTCATCAGAGCAAGAAAATGCAAATTATAACCACAATGAAAAACATGGGTATAGCACAGCGTACTTATCAAACAGCTAAAATTAAAGAGACTGAAAATACCAAGTGATTTTGAGAATGTGCAGCAACGGAATTCACAGACATTACTGGCATACATGTCAGTAGCACAACCCCTACAGAAACTGTTTAGCAGCATCTAAAAATGCCAACTACACAGATACCCTAAAATCCATCATTTCTGCCCTACAGAAATGATGACTTTTGTCCACTTCAGTTATTTTATTCCTTCCACAAACTCACAAATCCACGTATGTAAACTCTAAATTCTTAGACTGCCTTTTAAGAAAATAAGTTATTTTTAGAAAATAAGCCAACAAACCAAAACTTGGAGAAAAGACTCTATGCTTTATGTCACACCAAGTGGCCAGAACATGTCAGTTCAAATAAATACATATGGGTAAGCAAGGGCAATAAAAATAAGGGGAAAAAAATCTCTAAAAGCACATAATTTGATTAAGGTTATTCTGACATAAAAGCAAAATATGCTTGGTAATGAGGGTCCTCACTTTGTCTAGTGAATCAAAAGATTCAAAAGAATCTCTAATGTTTTCTAATGCCTCCTAAATCTCATTCAATCTCTCACTGGTGGCATTTCACGCAGAATCTTATTTTGCAGTACATCTTGGGAGATGTAGTCCCTGGGCTTCCAGACCTATTATTACTTGGGAGTGGAGAGAAAATGATACACTGATAATTGGCCTTAAATTAATCACATGCAGGGTAATTGCTTTTCAAAATAAAATTAAAATGTCTTTTATTAAATTACATGATTTAATTATAGGACACTTGAAATAATAGCAAAATGATCTTATACCTGAGGAACTCTTTTCCTATGTAAACAAAAGATTTAGTAAATTTTTCTAGTGAAAGTTGTTCTAAATTATGAAGTCAACAATGCCTGGTTTGTCCTACCCACCACTAACAGTGTATAAAAGGCCCTGGACAGATGATGACATTTAAACTGAGAAGAATAATTCCTGCCTCTCAAGTGAACTTTCCACTCTTAATACCATGTACTATTACAGAAACTATTATGGTGGCCTAGGTGCTGGCTATAGCTATGGCAGGTATGGATGTGGTAGCTACTATCCATCTTGCTGTAGCAGATACCGGTCTTATGGGTTCTACTGAGAAACTTGTAGAGCCACTCAGCTTATTGGACTCATCCTGCTACTACCAGGGATGACTTAGAAATTCTATTGCATCTTTAATGCAGAGTAAACTCATCTTAGGCTACGAGGGAAAACATTATTCAGATTTGACATGTTTTTTTGGTCAAAATTATCTCAAAATACCTCAAATTTTATATTTTTAATAGATGCTTTCACTTTGATATTGCATTTCCATCATACTTTCTCATTAATTTTGATCTTGCAGAGGCTTTTGACTTTACCCCTGTAAGTAGAGAACACCATTTGCTTTCAGCTGGCAGGACCAGCAATGCTCTTTAACTGCCCTACCTCAGAGTTATGCTAACTCTTCAAACCCCATGCACAACTTAGTCTACAGAGACCTTGACTTTGCATTCTAGTGGTTATCACATTAGTCCACCATGTTCATAATATGATGGTGATAAGACCCAGTGAGTAGGAACTAGCAACTACCCTGAACATCTTGGTAAAACTCATGAGTGACAGAGGATGGGAAATAAGCCCTACAAAATTTCAAGGACCTGCCATCTCATTGAAATTTCTAGGGGTCCACTGGTCTGGATGAAGGGACACATCATTACTTTTGACGCCTCCTATCACTAAGTAAGAAACACAATACTCAGGAGTCTCTTTGTATTTTCATGATAATGTAATCCTCATCTGGATGTGCCACCTGTTATCCATTTATCCACTGTAACCAATAAAGTGGCTACAAGCTTAGAGTGAATTAAGAGCAAGAGGAAACTCCACAATGGTCACAGGTTGCCATACGTACTGCTCTGTTACTTCACTGTACGGAGCAGCAGATTCAGTGCTGCTTACAGTGTCCACAGAAGATAAGGATGATGTTTTGAGGTTTTCACAGGTCTGTAGAGGTGAATCATAGCACAGGCTTTTAGGATTTTGGAGCAAATCTATGCTGTCCTTTGAAGATTTATATTATCTTTTGAAGAAACAGCTCATAACTGAGTTCTTTTTTCCTTTTACATTTGTTTTTTTTCCAGTTTTATTGAGATACAATTGATATGTAACATTTTATGAGTTTAAGGTACACAACGTCATGATTTGATATATGTATATATTGCCAAATGATTACACTAGTTAACATCCATCACCTCACAAAATTACAGTTTTTTCCTTGTGATGAGAAGTAGATATTTCTTTTAAGATCCACTCTACTAGTAACTTTTCAAATATACAATACAGTTCACTAAGGTCACCATGTTGTACATTACATCCTCAGAACTTATTTATATTATAACTGGAAGTTTGTACCTTTTGACCACCTTTACCCATTTCCCCCATGCCAGCCTCCCCCCATGTCTGGCAACCACCAATCTATTCTCTGTTTCCATGAGTTAGATTTTTTTTAAGAATTTTCAGTTCTTGTCCATAGGCCACCAAGTTACCATGTGACTTGAACTGCCCACTGTGAACTAGATATTGTTTGAATCTGAGCCGCAAATTTGAGTATACACAGCAATCTTCCATCATCATGTGAAAGTGCTGTATATGAGACTGGGCTTGAGGAAGTCCAGAAAGTACAAATAAATTATAGAAGAAAGTGGCTTGAGTCTCATGGCTTCTACTCTACTGAGTGTCTCCTTTTTCTCAACACCCACTGATAGATTTATTCTGATTTTCCAGTTGAAAGAAGAAAAAATAGTCCTGGCTTACAGATGGTTCTGCCAATCTGATGATACACTTAAAAGTAGGTGGCTGCACTACAGTAGCCCAAATCAGGCATGGCCCTAGAGAACAGCAGTGAAAGAAAATCCCCAATTGTTTTCAATCCTCTTGAGAAATGATAACATCCAAATTTAGTCTGTCTCTTAAAACTTAAGTCTATGTATAGGGGCATGGTACATACAGAGCCACTATCCTTGAGAAAAATAAATACTCATGTACTCTATCAAATTTCAGCCTCACTCTATATTCCTATGAACTTGGAAACAAATAAGATGGTCAATGCTCTTCCTGTATGTGAAGAAATGTGTACAGTCTGGTGCAGGTATAGATAATCAACTAGACAACTTTTTTATCTAACAGAAAAAAAACTACACAGACAACAAAGTGGCATTACTCTCAACAGAACACAGCAATACAAATCCCATAGAGTAAAATGTGATTGGAATGGATGGTAGGTCGTACAGAAAAAAATACTGTTTGCTGCTAAGATTTATATAGATAACATCACAGCTGTGTTGATTAAGTTTTAAATCTGTGCATGAGATGAAGGGTATTATTAGCAAAATCACTGGAGGAAGAAGGCATTCGCCTCCTCCATGTGATGTCATGCAGCATGGTTACAAAGGTTAAATTCAGCATCAGTGTCAGCAAGGTCAGTGAACTCAGCATTTTGGTTTTTTATTTAAAGAACATCGACTGTTTGGGAAGATCCTAACATACCAAGCAAATAATCTCCACTTTAATGAGTATGTGAAGTCTTTTTTGTCTAAAGAAACGTGATTAATGAGATTTTTAAATACAAGTTGGTCTATATGAGGATGTCAGAAGTGTCTGTGGTTTGCCACACCTACACTTAGACTGCAAAACAGACTCTTAGCATTTAATATTCTCATTCACTAAAATTTACTCTTTGCTCATAGGCTAAAAACTTAAATTCTGACACAGTATGCTACTACTAAGGCAGATACTATAGAGGACTGTGGATACGGTCATGTCTGTTGCTTTGGTGCCTTTGGAATCTTGGAATGTGGCTACAGATGTGGCTGTAATAGGTATGGACTTGACTGCTGACACCAATATTGTCACAGGTGACACTTGTCCCCTGGCACCAACTGAATACTATCTGCTACTGAGTCCATTCCCTTGTGAGATGGCAATTCTGTTCTACAGAATCTTTTCATTGTACTTGTTATACTCAGGTTTAACTGTTAGTAATCCTGACTAATCCTAGGCAATCAGAATAGATTATTAAACTGACAAGACATCTACATCAGTGTCTTAGATTGACTACACTTTTCTCTTTCAATTAATGTTTTTTTCATGATAATATACCAGATAAATTACAGTTTCGGCATGTTTCATGAGTAGGCAACTCTAGGTTCACTTTTCATTACTCTGGCTTGGCCAATGTTGTTATTTGTTTCTCTTTTTTTAAAATGTATTACTTATACATGTGTTCAAAAATGTTTAATGAATAATTGTTCCATAAGTCTCCCTGTTAAGTGTTACAAATGTGAAAAGATATGTTAAGTTGGAAAACAAATATGTAAACAAACATGATAGATGATGTAATGGTCAAGTGGAAACACAGAGGGGAAGGCTCATGTCTGGTTTCAAGAAAGAGATGCTAGAGCAAAAGGTCAGACCAAATATGTTCTCCCTAAAGGTTACATTTAAATTAATTCTTGACGTAGGAGAAATATAATAGAGAGGCAAAGTGTATGCCAAGCAGGAGGAGCAGAATATGTGCAGGCATTGGGAAAATATTGCATTACAGATTTATAAGTTGGTGTCACACCTAGAAAGTACACAGAGCAAAGCAAGTGGCTAAAATGAGGCCCCAGGCAATTAAGAGAAACCAGAACATCAAGATCATATATATCTTGCTATGGGTGCACTAGATACTATTTCAAAAAGTTATAATGTTTTCCGCAGAAATTTATGTTTTATAAAAATCATTATGGCAGCTAATTGAAAGGAAGTTCACCAAGGGCTGTGACCACTGACCAATAGACTATCAAGAGGCTATTCAAGTAGTCGATGTGAGGTCTCAATGTAAGAAAGCAGCAATTAAGATTTTCAAGAGGACCCAGATCAAATATAAAAGTGACAGAATTTAAAAGGCTTGTTTATATGATATGGGGGTGAAGAGTAATAAAGAAAAAAAGGAGCACACATGAACTTCCAGATTGGAGGTACAGAAACTGATGGATTGTGATGCTAATAGAAGATGTGATATGAGACAAGGCGGGCATTAGGAGGATGATCAAGGTAGAGATCTGAAAATTTGTTAGAGTTCAGATAAATTTAAGTAAAGTTATATAGTGGCAGGTTCTTATAAAAATCTGGAACTCAAGAGAGAACTGGATTTGACATTTCAAATAATTGGATAAAGGTGTAATAGCTTCACAAATACAGTATTCCAATATTTAGAAGTGAGCAGAAGAAAAAGAGATTGCAATTCAGGTAAGGAGCAGGAAAAAGATAAAAGGTGAAACAGAAGAGATTTGTATCAGGGGAATCAAGGACATATAAACTTTCTAGGAGGGAACTGTCAGCAACTGCACTTTCACTCAAGCATTTATTCTTTTTTTTTGTTTTCTTGCGGTATGCGGGCCTCTCACCGTTGTGGCCTCTCCCGTTGCGGAGCACAGGCTCCGGACGCACAGGCTCAGCAGCCATGGCTCACGGGCCCAGCTGCTCCGTGGCATGTGGGATCTTCCCGGATCGGGGCACGAACACATGTCCCCTGCACAGGCAGGCAGACTCTCAACTACTGCGCCACCAGGGAAGCCCAAGCATTTATTCTTTCACCAAGTATTTCTAGAGTAATAACAAATTTTGAAACTAAGCTAGATGCTGGCAAATAGTCAATGAGATTGGCATGCTACAGAAGTTACAATCAAGAAAGGCATGACAGAACATCATAAAGGCAATTACTGTAAAATAGCAGAGGCTTTAGTGATTACTTAGAGTCTCTTCAGCTCCCGATGTCTGGGGAATTGACCCCAAACTCCATCCTCATGATAACCAAAGAAACAGCCATTTTATTCTTCAATTTGTTAATATGGTGTATCACATTGATGGATTTGCATATATTGAAGAATCCTTGCATCACTGGGATAAATCCCACTTGATCAGGGTGTATGATCCTTTCAATGTCTTGTTGGATTCTGTTTGATAGTATATTGTTGAGGATTTCTGCATCTATATTCATCAGTGATATTGGCCTGTAGTTTTCTCTTTTTGTGACATCTTTGTCTGGTTTTGGTATCACGGTAATGGTGGCTTCATAGAATGAGTTTGGGAGTGTTCCTTCCTCTGCAAGTTTTTAGAAGAGTTTGAGAAGAATGAGTGTTAGCTCTTCTCTAAACGTTTGATAGAAACCACCTATTAAGCCATCTGGTCCTGGACTTTTGTTTATTGTAAGATTTTTAATCACAGTTTCAATTTCATTACTTGTGATTGGTCTGTTCATATTTTCTATTTCTTCCTGGTTCAGTCTTGGAAGGTTATACCTTTCTAAAAAATTGTCCATTTCTTCCAGGTTGTCCATTTTATTGGCATAGAGTTGCTTGTAGCAGGCTCTTATGCTTTGTATTTCTGCAGTGTCCATTGTAACTTCTCCGTTTTCATTTCTAATTTTATTGATTTGAGTCCTCTCCCTCTTTTTTTTGATGAATGTGTCTAAAGGTTTATCAATTTTGTTTATCTTCTCAAAGAAGCAGCTTTTATATTTAATGATATTTGCTATTGTTTTCTTTGTTTCTATATCATTTATTTCTGCTCTGATGTTAATGATTTCTTTCCTATTAACTTTGGGTTTTGTTTGTTCTTTCTCTAGTTCCTTTAGGTGCAAGGTTAGATTGTTTATTTGAGATTTTTCTTCGGGTTTCTTGGGGTAGAATTGTATTGCTATAAACTTCCCTCTTAGAACTGCTTTTACTGCATCCCATAGGTTTTGGATCATTGTGTATTCATTGTCATTTGTCTCTAGGTATTTTTTGATTTCCTCTTTGATTTCTTCTGTGATCTCTTGGTTATTTAGTAACATATTGTTTAGCTTCCATGTGCTTGTGTTTCTTACATTATTTTCCTGTAGTTTATTTCTAATCTCATAGCGTTGTGGTCAGAAAAGATGCTTGATGTGATATCAATTTTCTTAAATTTACTGAGGCTTGATTTGTGACCCAAAATGTGATTTATCCTGGAGAATGTTCCATGTGCACTTGAGAAGAAAGTGTAATCTGCTGTGTTCGGATGGAATGTCCTGTAAGTATCAATTAAATCTACCTGGTATATTGTGTCATTTAAAGCTTGTGTTTCCTTATTAATTTTCTGTCTGGATAATCTGTTCATTGGTGTATGTATGGTGTTACTGTCCCCCACTATTATTGTGTTACTGTCGATTTCCATTTTTATAGCTGTTAGCATTTGCCTTATGTATTGAGGTGCTCCTACATTGGGTGCATATATATTTATAATTGTTATATCTTCTTCTTGGATTGATCCCTTGATCATTATGTAGTGTCCTTCCTTGTCTCTTGTAACATTCTTTATTTTAAAGTCTATTGTATCTGATATGAGTATTGCTACTCCAGCTTTCTTTTGGTTTCCATTTGCATGGAATATCTTTTTCCATCCCCTCACTTTCAGTCCAAAGTGGGTCTCTGGTAGACAGCATATATATGGATCTTGTTTTTGTATCCATTCAGTGAGCCTGTGTCTTTTGGTTGAAGCATTTAATCCATTTACATTTAAGGTAATTATCAATATGTATGCTCCTATTACCATTTTCTTAATTGTTTTGGATTTGTTTTTGTAGGTCCTTTTTTTCTCTTGTGTTTCCCATTTAGAGAAGTTCCTTTAGCATTTGTTGTAGAGCTAGTTTGGTGGTGTTGAATTCTCTTAGCTTTTGCTTGTCTGTAAAGCTTTTGATTTCTCCATCAAATCTGAATGAGATCCTTGTAGGGTAGAGTAATCTTGGTTGTAGGTTCTTCCCTTTCATCACTTTAAATATATCGTGCCACTCCCTTCTGGCTTGTAGAGTTTCTGTTGAGAATCACCTGTTAACCTTATGGGAGTTCCCTTGTATGTTAATTGTCATTTTTCCCCTGTTGCTTTTAATAATTATTCATTATCTTTAATTTTTGTCAATTTGATTACTATGTGTCTCAGCATGTTTCTCCTTGGGTTTACCCTTCCTGGGACTCTCTACACTTCCTGGACTTGGGTGGTTATTTCCTTTCCCATGTTAGGGAATTTTTTGACTATAATCCCTTCAAATATTTTCTCAGGTCCTTTCTCTCTCTCTTCTTCTTCTTGGACCACTATAACGTGAATGTTGGTGCGTTTAATGTTGCCCCACAAGTTTCTTAGGCTGTCTTCCTTTCTTTTCATTCTTTTCTCTTTATTCTGTTCCACAGCAGTGAATTCTACCAGTCTGTCTTCCAGGTAACTTACTCGTTCTTCTCCCTCAGTTATTCTGCTATTGATTCCTTCTAGTGTATTTTTCATTTCAGTTATTGTATTGTTCATCTCTGTGTGTTTGTTCTTTAATTCTTCTAGGTCTTTGTTAAACGTTTCTTGCATCTTCTCAATCTTTGCCTGCATTCTGTTTCCGAGGTCCTGGATCACCTTCACTATCATCATTCTGAATTCTTTTTCTGGAAGGTTGCCTATCTCCACTTCATTTATTTGTTTTTCAGGAGTTTTATCTTGTTCCTTCATCTGGTACATAGTCCTCTGCCTTTTCATTTTGTCTATCTTTCTGTGAATGTGGTTTTCATTCCACAGGCTTCAGAATTGTAGTTCTTCTTGCTTCTGCTGTCTGCTTTCTAGTGGATGAGGCTATCTAAGAGGCTTGTGCAGGCTTCCTGAGAGGAGTGACTGGTGGTTGGTAGAGCTGGGTGTTGCTCTGGTGGGCAGAGCTCAGTAAAACTTTAATCCACTTGTCTGCTGATGATTGGGGCTGGGTTCCCTCCTTGTTGGTTGCTTGGCCTGAGGTGACCCAGCACTGGAGCCTACCCAGCTCTCTGGTGGGGCTATTGGCAGACTCTGGGATGGTTCAC